ACTAAGATAATCTGTAGCAGTTTAAAAAGGAGAGATAAATTCTTTCCTTTTTAAACACACAAACATACTGAAGAAAGTACATTGCAGAAATATGGCAAAGAGAAAGAGAATGACAAGCACATAATATATAAATTATTTAGAATTTGAAAAAAGCACACTTAAGCTCAGCTGGTTTAATCTCTCTAAAAACATTAATTAAGAAAGAAAATAAAATGTCAAATGTAGGTTCGTGCCTGGCTCTATAACGTTTTCCAGTACTGTACAACTGTCTTTGTAAGAATTAATTAATAAAGGTACTCAAACAAAAAGTTCGCTAAATCTTTTCTGATAACGCCTCAAAGAGGCATGAAACTCTTCGATGTAGAGTTTTGATGGCATGACAAACACGAAAAATATTGTCATCGATGGTATAAATGAAATGAAATATCCAGATAGAGCGAGCCACGGATTGCGTGTCGATTTCATACATCCAGAGACGAAAGAGAGGATCAAACGAGGCAGAGCTAACAAAACCAGAATACAAGGACTTATGATCAAATGTCTGTGCTGTTTCAATTGTATTTTCAAAAGTTGATAATAGGCCATTCGTTTTTGGGCACTTGAACGATGCCGAGTTGTTGTGACTATAATTATAATAGCTGAAATAACATTGATAACAAACGGAACAATAAAATTCATAGTATTGATTATTGTATCGTAAATTTTCAATGAATCTTGATATGAAACGATACACCATTGACGTTGATCTACTGGATCTTTAATTAAACGACGGTTCATTGGATCATGCATGACGAGCAGAACAGTTGTACACAGAATAAAGATGGTAATAATTCTTGTCATTCGTTTACTTCTTTGTTTGTTAGATATTACTGTTTTTGAAGCAGTTAGAGCACGATCGATTGTAACACAAACACTAAGCCAATCGCCACATGCAAGTAAAAATTTCAATAAAAAGTCAATTAGAATACAATTGATATAAAGAAATATTAGATTCGTTAAGCTCATGATTTGTATTAATAATAAAGATAAAACTTTCAATGCGAATATAAAAATGGTTACGAGAGAAACGACGGAAGATGATAATAAATAAGTGCCACAAGAAGCATCTTGTACTCTCTTTTGACTGAATGTAATTATTGAACATATATTCAAAGCCATACCAAATATAAACATAATCGTTGTTGTAGCGATAGTGAGTTTTACAACAACAGGCTGTCTTTTAATGTCAGTTTTCGGTTGTATTTGATATCCAATGATGGCATCTAATGAAAGAGAGAAAGCTGAAGTTGAAAACTGACACATTGTTCCATAATAACACTCTGGACAAACACACATGAAATCTTGTGGACATCCCTCGCCTTCATAAAAACATTGTGCACCGTTTTCACAGTAATTATATTCATTACAATTATACGTCATATTATGATCAAACTGAAAACAATCTGCCCGATGATCTTCAGTACACAAACACATTTGTCTTTCATCATGGAAACATTTCAGATCATAACGTTGTTGGCACGGCTGATGATAATGCTTAACACGTTTTAACCAATGATACGACAAAATGTTTTGATCAAATAATTCTCTGATAGATGGGCAACGATTAGATCGCACAAGTGTCGTAGAATCATTTCCCCGATATGTTGGCTCTTTCTTTAATATGATTAGGTAATAAGTAGACTGTTGGAATTGCATATACGCCAGATTATGACCGAAACTTGTATAGATTCTAATTTGCTGCTCATTAGTCGGTATCCGTTTGAACAACGTGTGCCGTTTGAAGGACTTGACAGCTGAAACTGTATTAATAAAATGGATTAGTGCTGACGATGTTATTTCTATTTCTGCTGTAGTTGAGACTTGTAATTTAGATTTCAAATATTCACAATTACCACCCGTACTTTCTTCTCGACACAAACAATAATACGAAATACCAATCCTTGGATCAAGAGGAATACACGTTCCCCCATATCGACAAGGCATTGATGAGCACGCCGACTTTTTGATTGAGCATAGTGGCCCTATTCGTCCTAATGGGCATAGACAGATCGATTTGTTGCTTTGCATTATTTTTCCTAAGCATATTGAACCCGCAGAACACTGACACTCATACCGAAGCTGACACCGTTTACCTGACCAACCGTCTGTGCATCGGCAAAAGAAAAGTTGCGTTTTTTCTGACTGATAGCATGTTCACCATTTTCACATCTAAATGCTAAACACTCTTTCTGCTTGGTCAGAGTATTAGCCGGCATTATTAAGTCCAGAACAAGTCTATTGATTGGTAACAATGGAAATTTCACTACGTCATCAAACATCCAGCTTGTTCGATATGCAGTTATATAATTCAGCACATGTGTAGTGTAAACGTCAATTCGAATGGAATATTTGCTGCTGCTGTTTCCTTGTATTTCAGGATACAGAAATTGCATAAAATAGTTTACCGTACAATCACTAGTTTGTGGCATATACGTCGTTTGTTCATAGGATGCGACCATATGAGTGGTAGTATTGATTAAATAGACAAATAATTTGAAAAAAAGATTCGGGTCAAATATCGTGATTATACGAAGACGAAATGTCACAGTTAAATGTCTAGATTGGTATTGACAACGATTGCCATAATATGCTGTTGGACATAAACAACGGTCACCATCTGACTTTGAATGAATCAATAGCCCACGATTACAGTACCATGCCAGTGTAATGTTACCAAAAAGTGGTGGTGGTAAAACTGGAGGTAAAACTGGAGGTAAAACTGGAGGACTGATGCGTATCATTGTATAATCGTCTTTTATTTGTATTTGTTTCAACAACGATGATGATTGAGGATATTCGAGAAAAACTTCTGTTTCAAATCGTTTCTGTTTTCTTCTTGCCTGACTTCTCAGATCACAAAGTATTCTTTCTTCGTTCGATGAACATGACAGCTGTGTATCACAGCGTAGAGCTGGTTCAATCAATGTACCACTGATACATTCAAAACTTGTTTCTTCAGGATTAGCACATTTCATCCATGGACAAACTAATTCATCATCACCATCAGGTAAACAATCTCTGTGACAATCACAGACCTGTTGAATATTTATACACTGTGTTGAATTCCAACAATGATAACGTCGTTCAAGCTCGTTTGGATATAGGCCTATACAATACTGTCGCTCATCTGTAGATCCCAAACAGTCTATCACACCATTATTAACTTTATCAATTGATGACAAGCATCCATATTCACCGGTGTATGGTTGCACACAATAATGTTGATTCACATTACATTTTGTGCTAAATGGTTTGAGGTTTGTATTCTAATGTTAAAAAGAAAAATATTAAACAACTAATATTAAAAATGTTAAAAAGAAAATATTAGACGACGAATATTAAAAATCAATTAAATATTTTTCCATCGTATTTAAATATTAGTTCGGTCAATATTTTCCTTTATTTTAAGATAATTAAATAGTTTTGTATCTTAGGACAAGCAAAATATTTATTAGTTCAAATAGAAAAATATTTTAATTGATTTTTAATATTCGTCGTCTAATATTTTCTTTTTAACATTTTTCGACATACCCATTCATTGTAATAAGTAGTGCAATTTATCTCATCTTCACCATTCAAGCAATCCCAGTGCCAATCACACATCGTATACTGCGTTCGACAAGGCCAGTCTTCTGGACAATCTGTTTCATCTGTTTCATTTCCATCCTGCAACTCAATTGATCCGTTACATATTTGTTGAAATAGAAATTCGTTCGTTTTGGGCTTACGAGCTTCGTCTTCCATATTCGAACAATCGACTGTTTTATCTTCAGCAAGTATCAACGATAGGCATCTCTCTTCTTTTCCGGATGTACATCTAAATTGTTGGTGTGACATGTTCAATGAACAACTGTGATCATAATTTTCATCCTGACCGTTATAGCAATCAATTATACCATCATGAACACGATATTTTGAAATACATTTTGATTCTCCACAATGGAATAGATGTGCTGAACAATTTGTATGTATTCGACATTGTTGACGAAATAGATGTTGAACATCGACCATTAAATCATCCCAATTTGTGTATGTATTAATGATTAATTCGTCGAAATGTTTACATGTTAATTCATGAATCTGAACTGTGCTAGAGTTCGAGAATGAACAATATCGTTCATCGTAGCATATGTAAGTAGGAGAAATTGTAGTTGTTGAATTATAAATAAACTGAACGGAATTTGATATTGGGAAAAGAATGGGAGTTGTACACTCCTCAAGAACACAATCATTTTTAAATCCTAATGTACAAAGAAGGGCATTCCAACACTGTCGCTGGTTTTGTCTTTGATATTGAGCTAACATCTGCTGTGTCAGCAAAAGATCACGCCCATTCTTGCAAACTGATATTGGTGTTGGTGGATAATGCGGTGAACACTGCCCATCACCACAGGGAAACAAAACTTTACTACTACTAAAACAATATTGAATGTCGCACTGGGCATGGTCAAAAAAGGGACATCGAGTGGCTGTTGTTAATTCGTCTGATCCATCTAGACAATCTGGTGTTGTTGCATCATTATGAAACAATGTCTTTGGTATACAGTGTTGACCGTTCTGACAACGGAAGTTATCTTGATCACCACAATCACTTGATTCTAAAAGATGACATCCATATTCATCTTCACCGGAAATGCAATCAAATTTTCCATCGCATATTTCTCGCCAATCTAAACATGTTTCTGAACAATTTTTCAAATAGACAAAACATGTACCGTTTGTTATTCGAATAACATCTGCTGGGTTAAAATTCGTTTTCATCGCTTCTCTATAATACATAACATCGTTGAAAAACTGTGAAGTTGTAGAATTAAACGTGTATTGACAAAGAGAACCGAACCACGGTGGCGTACAATTATAATACAATAGTTCATCGTCACGCTGGCTAAGTTGGTATGTTTCAATCATAGCAATTGGAACTGACCAATCATATAGATCAATTGTTGTCACACCAAGGGCACGTAACTGTTGAGATGTATACAGTCCATTGAATTGATCATAAGATGGTGATACATGATCACTTGGCGATTGACGAATACAATATGGAATAATGCGGTCGGGTTCAATTAGGTATAAACAATCAAAGTATTCTTCGGTTCCAGTTGTGATTTCATATAAGTTGAAATCGTGGTAGGCCAAATTTGGCGGTAATAATATTTTCAAACAAAACAAAAACGATAAGAACAAAGGAGAGTCTAACTTCAACATATTACTCTGTCGTATTTATCTGTTCGGTTATACAGATACGCCACAAATACATCAGTAATACTACAAGTTGACTAGTTCTGAATGAGAATGCATTTGCATTATCTCACTTTATCCTAATAATTAAATAAATACAAAATGCATGTACTGCCCGACAACAAAGAAAGCCACTTAGGAATTAAAAGTGTTGTTATTTTTTCGCAAACAAACTTTTCTTTTCATAGAGGAAGTGTGACAGATGTTCCTCGTTTGCTCTAAAGGTTGAGCTCAACAATATCATATTCAATAATTTCATAATTTGTTTTCATGAATCAGACTCTTAGAAAGCTTAATTCCCTTCTCATACGATACATGACAATATTGAACTCACCGTTTTAGGACAAACGAGGAACATCTGCCACACTTCCTCTATGAAAGGAAAAGTTTGTTTGCGGAAAAATAACAACACTTTTAACTCTTAAGTGGCTTTCTTTGTTCCGTAGTCGAACAGAACACGCATTTTGTATTTATTTAATTATTAAGGTAAAGTGAGATAACGAAGAAACATTCTAAAGTTAGACTCTAATTTGTTCTTATCGTTTCTGTTTTGTTTGAGAATATTATTACGGCCAAACTTGGCCTACCACGATTTCAACTTATATGAAATCACAACTGGAACCGAAGAATACTTTGATTGTTTATATCTAACTGAACTCGACCGCATTATTCCATATTGTATTCGTCAATCGACAAGTGATCATGTATCACCATCTTATGATCAATTCAGTGGACGGCATACATCTCAACAGTTGCATGACCTTGGTGTAACAAGAAATGATCTATATGATTGGTCAGTTCCAATCATATATTTTAAGAAAGTTAGATTAGTTATCATTATATAAACTTTTTCTTCAACATAAATTTATTTTATTTTATAAAATAATTAAAGGACTTGTTCTTTGATATTTATGTTTCATATTTAAGCGACCAAAAAAGGTAACACATCAATATTCTACAATATTAGATACTGTAATGGACAAGAAAAAAACAAACATTGAAAGATTTTTCAAAAACACACCGTGATCTTCTCTTTCATACACTGTATTTTGATTATACTACATCATTAATCCCCGTTAACATGTTCATGAAATCGTGAATAACATTTGATCTAAACCCATCGGTAATGCATCTATTCCTTGAATAAGTTTAATTTTATAAAACCTTTATTTTCTGCCGCGACAGTGTGTTTATATTATATTTTTGCAATGTACTTTCTTCAGCAGCTGTTTAAAAAGGAAAGAATTTATCTCTCCTTTTTAAACTGCTACAGATTATCTTAGC